GGTGCAAACGGTCCAAAGCCTCTCCGGGCGGGGCGGGTGGGAGAGCGGGACCCCGAACCTTGGCCTGGGCCGTGCGCCCTTTGCCTCGCGCTCAAGGGCGTAAACCGACAAGTTGGTTCTAAGCATTTTGGGGTCCCCTTCCCATTCCCAAACGTGCGCGCTGTGCTGTGCTTGGCCGCTGGTGGGCCTTGGGAGGCCCCAGGAGGTGTGAATGGTGGCCTAGCGTTAGTTGTAAATGATCAAGTAACCTTAGGAGTGGGATCCAGAGGCTCTTGGACTGTGGGAACCTCAAGAAGGAAAATCTTGAGGCCTCCGGGCTTGTCTCCCTTTCCTGGAAGGGGAGGGGAACTGCAGGCACCTGACCCAAGCCAGGCCATCAGGGGCGTGGAGAGGTGCCGCCTCACCCTGTGGGGGAAGGAAGGTGCAGTGTGTCCTCCAGGGTGAGATCCAACCGACGTGCCCCACCAGACCTAGAGACTGCGAGGGCATCTGCTTCTTGTCTGGAACTGGGATGCCCTCTGCCACCTAGAGATAAAATACCCCCGGACCCTATCCCTCTGTGTCCCTGGCCTGGTCTGAGAACACAAGTACCTCTAAGTAAAAGGGAGGAAACACTTTAATCAGTGTTCAGGCTCCTGCTTGTCCTGCCTGAGATGGAAACAACAGCGTGGTTAATGCACTGCAAGAGATAATCTCCCAGCCACTTCCACCTAGAAGGGCCAGTGGGTTATTATTATTTTTTTTGGTAATCATTTATTTTGGCAGCGGTTAACCTTCCCTGTGTGAAGATCAAGGCTTCAGACTTGGAGCCTTGTTTCCTGTTTTGGGCTTGGGCAGTATCTGGAGGCCAGTCCCTAGGGCTGACAACCTGCTGTGGATCACTCATCCACTGGGGTGACACCTCCCTGGGGCCTCATGGTCCTGGATGGGGAGGATAAGGGGATGAGGGCAGGGGTGCGCCATAGGTGGGGACAGGTACTGGAAAGGTTTGCCTGGGTAGAATGGCGTCCAACTGAGTATATGTAGGAAGGCTGGCTGGAGAGTGATGTGCTGGTGCAGACCCAAACAAAAGCAGGAGTTGGATAGAAAAGGACCTGACCTTGAACATTTTTCAAAATGTGGGTAGGGAAGGGCCTTCATGGCTCTTTGTGGCCTGGGGTGGAAAGCAGGTTCCCTGCAGGTCTGTGACCTGGTTCCATGTCCCCCTCCCCTGGCCTTCTCCTCTCCTTCCCTCATGACTTGCTGTTTGGTAGCTGGGTGTGGGATCATGTGGTACAGCTTGGCCCTTGTTTTGTTTTTTTCCTCTCTTTTTCAGCCCTCTCCCTCCTTCCTGGCTCAGGAAGCCGAAGGGGGTGGGTGTGGGGTTGAAAGCTCTCCCCTGGATCTCTTAGCCTTTTCTTTTTTCTGAAGAGGCTCCTGTCCCCAAATTCATTCCGCCCCTTTGTTTCTTAGGGAGGGGCTTCTGTGAGGTCAGTGACTTGGGGAGGGGCCTTTGATTTTTTATTTTTATTTTTCCAGTTCTTGCCCTTGCTCTCTTCTTGGGCTGTGGATCTTCCTCAGCTGAGCTGTTTATGCCTGTAGGCCCAGGTGGGCCTGTTTTCAGCCAAGGACAGACAGCTCCCCTTGGAGAATTTGACTTGCTACCCCTTGATCTGAATGGGAGCCTTATTTGACTTTATAGGAGTCATCTTTCCATCAGGATCTTTCCACACCCAACTCACTGCCTTTCCCTCTGATGCATTGACCTGGATTATTTATAGAACCTGGAGGGGGCAGGGAGGACAGGGACACTTGTGGTGGGCAGAGGAAAATTCTGTGAAATTGGGCTGATCTTAGTACATTGGCCCTCACAGCAAGCCCACCAACAGAGTGAGGACTGCTGCCCTCATTCTGGTTCCCACCTCCCACCTTTGGCTCTAGTGGCCACTCTTAGTGGCCTTTCCTAGAGCACTCTGGTATGGGCTGCTAAGACAGTGAGTCTGCACATTGCCTAGTGGGGAGAGGGAAAGATGGAGAGGACCGGTATGTACCCTCCTCAGTTTTGGATAATGGTAGAAAAGAACAGTATCATACTTTCTAACTCCAGGAACCAGATGTGGTGGTCTCAAAGAGGGCAGATGGTAGTCCTCTGTCACCAAGACAGGACCTGGCTAGGGAAGGGCGGCCTCATGGTTAAGAGGAGGGGCCTGTGGAATGGCACAGCCCAGGTTCTAGTCCCAAACCTGCCAGCTTTTGGCCAGTCAAGTAAACTCTTGGTGCCTTAGTTTTCTCATCTCTAAAATGGGACTAATTTGCACCTTCACAGGTTGATATAAGGGGTGAAATGAAAATGCAATTAAAGTTTCTGGTGCAATTCCTGGACATGGTTGGTGATCAGTGAACAGCGGTGATGGAGGTTTTGGTAACAATGTCTGGTAGTTTTGATCTGGAAGACATTCCCTGTCCTAGAAGAGCCTCTCATATGATGGGGGAAGATCAAATAGGACTTAGAGCTTGGGAAAGCCCGAGGACTGTGAGGGGCAGGCTATACACAGGAGTATGAGAGCTTCTGATGAAATGGAATGGCCCTTTGCAGCCCTCCACCATTCTCTTTACTTCTAGAGGTTCGAGAACTAGGGCTGGCTTGGGGGGCCTGCAGTCCTGAAGCCAGGCTTAGATCAGCCTGCCCCTCTCTTCCCCATCAGCCTTGCTGGGAGCTGCCTGTACCTTTACAGAAAGGCAGGACAGCACAGGGTCTAGGAACCTGGAGACTGGGCTCTCACTCTCAGTTCTATGATTTACTAGCAGGCAAGTTACTTAACCTGTTTCCTCATTTTTACAAAGGTCATGATAATAATCATAGAATTACACAGATAAAATAAGAGAGCATCTATGAAAGTCTTAATGTAGTTCCAGAACCATAGCAAGCTTTTAAAATATTAGTGTTGGGGTTACTCTCAGGGCCCTGCTTTGTGTGTTGATGGTGATGGTTGGGGTGCTACACGTCTCAACATCCCCCAAAGATCCTTTGTCAGTGGGGTGCTTGAGGTGAAAGATTTCACTGGAGACATTCCAAATAATTAAAGAAATTCTCAAAACAAAATTTAATGTAATACACAAGGAAATTGGTTATAATGCTTTCCCTTCAGCCATACCTGAGTCATCATGGTTCTGATGATGCTTCCCCACTATTTCCTTCCTGGCTTTTGCCTTCAGCACCCTTCCTAGTACATTCCAGTGGGTGCTCTGTGTGGAGTAAAATGGTCCTGCCTTAAAGAACCCCTGACCCGGCCCTGGCCTGTGTGGCTCAGTTGGAGCATCATCTCGTACACTGAAAGGTGTCAGGTTTGATTCCCCCTTGGTGCACATACCCAGGTTGCAGGTTCCATCCCTGGGGCCAGGGAACAGGAGGCAACTAATTTCCCTCCCTCCCTCCCT